TTATTAAAAGAAATGTGATAACTGCTAATGAGAACAACTCTCGTATCGAATGAGTGTGGATTCCGTCCTATGTTGGAATTAGGTATCATGACCGTGCTGATAGACTGGCCAATGAGGCATGTAAGAAAGAAAATGTTGACCGTGACCTTGGCCTGTCCAATGCTGTACTTAAAAACATTCAAGTCAGAATCATGAAATCTGACCTAGAAGAGCTGAGAAATGCTGAGAGACCTGGCGGTTGTAGCATTAGTAAATATGAAAAAAAATGTGACGAGAGGTGCCGGTATGGCCAGCATAAGGACAAAACCAGACAATGTGATGTAGTCGTGGCCAGAATTAGGCTAGGATACAGACACATTTGGCAAGTTAGTAACGCTGTACCCATACCCGAACACTCAGCATGTAAACTTTGTGATAAACCTTTAAAGCATACACTTGAACACTATATCATTGAATGTGACACTGTCAAAGACTTCAGGCCACCTGACTTATTGTATTTTGAACTTTGTAATTCCTACATTGAATCGGGGGTGCTTGGGGACATTCTTGCTGTTTATCCCAAATTTGCTAGCCCACACTGATTAGTCATCAATTAGATTATGACGTCCAATGTATATGAACCACTGTCTTGCATGGCAGCGAACAGTGACATTGTAGTGGATTTCTCCCCTTCAAACGTTGTTTGTCGCTGAGTAGCCGACCCCGCGAATTCCCCAGTGTATGCCTCGTGGTCTAGGTCAACCAGTGCCGCCATACATCACGGAGGTCAACTATTAAGCCACGCCTACCTCCGCTATATAAGACCTGACCTCGTGGTGACCTACCTCTCTCTTTTCTACCTACACCAACCAGCAAGCAACACCACCTCCTCCTCCTACTGCCTGGCGGCCCTCGCTCCCGCCTGCTGCTGTCACGGACTCTCCTCCGCTCCTGCTGACGCAGCCCCTGTTCCTGACCCAGGCCCACACACCCCAGCAAGCGCATCTGACGACTCTGTACCTGCCGTGAGGGAAGCACAACATTCATCGCCTCCACACACCCTTTTTCTCCCTCTCTACTCCCACAGATATTGTGTATCTAGACAGTTGTCTCCTCTAGCGGCCGGCTCATCCACGCCCTCGCCGTTAAGGCTGGACCTGACATGGTGCATCCTAGAGTGCTAAGGGAGCTGTGCAACGAGCTTGCAGAGCCCCTGAAGATTCTGTTTTGTAAATGCCTGGATGAACAAATGGTCCCCAGTGAATGGAAAGTGGCTTATGTGAGTCCTATCTTCAAGAAGGGCGATAGTCACTCCACGAACAACTATAGACCGGTGAGCCTGACCAGCATAATATGTAAGGTACTTGAGAGTATTATCAGAGATGCAGCGATGGAACATCTACTACGAAACAACCTTGTAAAAGATTGCCAACACGGTTTTATGCCGGGGCGCTCTTGCTTGACACAATTGCTCAAGGTATTGGATATTTGGACCCATATTCTAGAACGGGGTGGTAATATCGACAATATTTACCTAGATTTTGCCAAGGCTTTCGACAGTGTACCCCACGAAAGGCTGAAAATCAAACTGGAAGGGTACGGAATTCGGGGAAATGTCCTAGCGTGGATAGAAGACTTTCTACATGACCGCAAGCAATGTGTGGTGATTAATGGCACGAAATCGTCATCTGTACCTGTAACAAGTGGGGTACCGCAGGGTAGTGTATTGGGCCCGCTGTTGTTTGTTTGTTTCATAAATGATATGCCTGACGTTGTACACTCCTCCATACAAATGTTTGCCGATGATGGCAAGTTATTTCGGGAAATTAAGAACCAAGCGGACTGTGAAGAGCTGCAGAAGGACCTCTGTGGGCTCCAGGAATGGTCGAAGGAATGGCTGCTGAGATTCAATGTCACGAAGTGTAAGAGGATGCACCTGGGGCGTACCAACGGTAAGGAGGCGTACCATATGTCCCAACGGGATGAAGAAAATGTACTAGTTGAGACTGTGTGTGAGAAGGACCTAGGTGTGTATGTTGACAATGAGCTGAAGTTCTCGGGCCATTGTGAGAAGAAGGTAAATCAGGCAAATAAATTATTGGGTCTTATAAGAAGGTCGTTCAGATATCTAGACGGTCCGTCCCTCGTGACGATCTTCAGGGGTGAAGTGCTTCCCCATCTGGAGTACTGTCACCCCATCTGGTCCCCGAGATATGCTAGGGACTGTCAGTTGGTTGAAAATGTTCAAAGGAGGGCCACCAAACTGGTGCCTGCACTTCGGCACCTCAGCTACCCTGAGAGATTGGAGCGCCTGAACTTGCCTAGCTTATACTACAGACGGGCAAGGGGGGACCTAGTTGAGGTTTATAAGCATCTCAGGGGGCACTACTCAGTTGAGTGTCCTTACTTGGAGCTGGCGGACGCTCGCCCCACAAGGGGTCACAGCTCAAGATTGAAGAAGCCGCAAGTCCAGAAAACCGTGAGGGCAAACTTTTTCGGAGTGAGAGTTGTAAACTCTTGGAACAATCTACCAGAGAGTGTTGTGATGGCACCGAGTGTGAGCTCTTTCAAGAGAAGACTTGACCAACACTGGAGCGGGTTCAGGTACATTCAGGAGCCGGTGCATGCCCAGTATTTGCCAACAGTGCGTGACAGAGACGTGACCGATCGCCCGGGCGGCTAGCGAGCCGACCTTTTGGTGAAGAATATAAAGGAAAAGAGACGTGACCGATCGCCCAAGCGGCTAACAAGCCGATCAGTGGCGAAGAGGATAAAAGTAAAAAGTAAAAGTAAGGCTAACATGTGGCATGCACCGTCCGTTCTGCCTCACATGTGCCATGCAACCCTGCAGACAACAAGTCTCCTACACCGCCTGAAGGGAAGGAGGGAGTATTGTAATGGATCCTTCTCCTACAAACGCTTTTGTCGCTGAGTAGCCGACCCCGCAAATTCCCCAGTGTATGCCTCATGGTCTAGGTCAACCAGCGCCGCCTTACATGACGGAGGTTAACTATTAAGCCACGCCTACCTCCGCTATATAAGACCTGACCTCGTGGTGACCTCTCTCTTTTTCTAGCTACAGCCGCAGCAAGCTACACCACCACCTCCTCCGCCGCTGCCTGGCGGCCCTCGCTCCCGCCGGCGAGCATGGCGACCCACAAGTTGGTCCTCCTCTGAGCATCCTCACCAACCAGCTCGCTCTACATCACGCTTGTAACCACGCTGCCACTTCCCAGCACCAAGCTTCATTGTACATCCAATACAACATGTATACAGAGAGCACATTGTGAGTTTCCTTTCTCCGTCCCATCCTGAGTGTGAACCCAAATATCACGAAACCCCACAAATGGTGACCCCCAGAGATTCGCACTCACACAGGATGGAGGAGAAACCGATCACTCTCCCAGTCTACAAGCAACATGGAAGACTGGCTTACCCACTCAGAGGCAGCTCTCATCGGCTCTACAGCTATTGTCTCTACACCGCAGGTTAGAGACACCAGCAGACACCAGCTCCTCTTCCTGCCCCAAGCACCACGTCCTACCGACCCCAGCACACCCGTCCTGCCTCAGACGTCGACCCCGGCCCAGCAGTACCCCCTGCCGCTCCTCCTGATGCTGCCGACGCGGCCCATGCGCCTGAGTGCGGACCCACACACCCCTCTTTTCTCCCTCAGGTACTCCCTGCTACTGTCCTGCACCCTGCTGCTGTCGTGGACCCAGCTGCTGTCACGAGCCCTCATCCGCTTCTGCTGATGCAGCTCCTGCTCCTGACCCAGGCCCACACACCCCAGCAGGCGCATCTGACGACTCTGTACCTGCCGTGAGGGAAGCACAACATTCATCGCCTCCACACACCCTTTTTCTCCCTCTCTACTCCCACAGATATTGTGTATCTAGACAGTTGTCTCCTCTAGCGGCCGCCTCATCCACGCCCTCTCCGTTATGGCTCACATGTGGCATGCACCGCCCGTTCTGCCTCACATGTGCCATGCACCCCTGCAGACAACAAATCTCCTGAGTAGCCGACCCGGCGAGTTCCCCAGTGTATGCCTCGTGGTCTAGGTCAACCAGTGCCGCCATACATCCTGGAGGTCAACTATTAAGCCACGCTTACCTCCGCTATATAAGACCTGACCTCGTGGTGACCTACCTCTCTCTTTTCTACCTACACCAACCAGCAAGCAACACCTCCTCCTCCTCCTGCTGCCCGTCGGCCCTCGCTCCCGCCGGCGAGCATGGCGACCCACAAGCTGGTACTCCTCTGAGCATCCTCACCAACCAGCTCTCTCTACATCACGCTTGTAACCACGCTGCCACTTCCCAGCACCAAGCTGCATTGTACATCCAATACAACATGTATACAGAGAGCACATTGTGAGTTTCCTTTCTCCATCCCATCCTGAGCGAACCCAAACAACCCGTACCCCACAACATTACCCACACGACTCTGACCTGCATATACTGCTAATGAATATGATGTATATCTTTGTGTATGAACCTCTGTCCTGCTGGGCAGTGAGAAGTGATACCACCCTCGGTGTCAAGACCTGACTGAATTACTCAGAATAGGTAAACTGTACTCCAAGCTTTGTCAATAAATTTGTATTAAACTAAAAAAACTCCTTCCCTGTTTTCCTTTTATTATCATACTGTCACAGCGACTCTTCCCGCCTCTACTTTCCTTACTCCTACCTCATCTACTTATTTATCCATCTCTGTCTTATTCTATATCTTACTGTCTACTTTTTACTGACTATATCTACCTCTCTCACTTTCACTGCCACAGGAACTTTCTGTAGAGGAATTAGTCTCAATATTCCAACCATCTGTAAACCTCATGCGAACTTAGGAATCGTGACAAGGCAAGGGAAGGAGGGTTTTCTTTGGTGGCATGAGAGCCATATCGGCGAGGGGATCCAGTTTACATTGGGAGTGCATGAGTGCGAGCCTAGCGGGTGTGTGGGAGGACCCGGGAGGTGCTGCCACCACCGGCCACCACAAAAACCTCTCGCTCAAGTTCAAGGCTAGACAGAGTGCGGCAGGCGGTGGGCCCACGCACACATACACTCTCATCCGCCCTCCTTTGACTCTTACCTACACATCCTTTTAGGTTTTTGGCACTTTTATACCCCTGGAAACTAATCTAGTGAAGTGATTTGTGTAATATAGTGTGTAAAGAAAGTAGATATAGTACTTTCGACGAGTGTCATTAAGAATTAAGGTGATAAAGAGGGAAATATCAAGTCATTTGTGAAGTGATTGGTGCTGAGTGGTGTGGTGCCTGGCCTTGGACCAGCAGATAGGTACAAGCAGGTAAGCTGAGGGACTAAGGTGTGTGGGAGCCACGCTGACGCCACCTAAACGTATCCTTGGAGGTTAAGTTTTTTCCTTTTTTTTTGAAAAATAAACTCGTTCTTGTGGATAATCGTACCAATTGAAATTCTCCGAAACAATTGCCCCGGTATATATTTGATACACAATTACATTTATACTCAAATGTGAGAAGTTTGAAGTTGTATATTACTTAACTCCTTGGAAATTTTGAGGATGGTATATGGAGTCTAAGATTAACAAGAAAATTTGACTTTGAAAGCCAGTTTTGATTAAACAGTTTCAACTTGCATCACAACAAAAGTAAGGTAGGTGTGACCTCTAGGCTAATATTTGTATTATTGTTGATGCCCTAAAGTAACTTAGGTCATTCGTTTTCGTGTATTGACATTATTGTAGTCATTTGCATTCAGGTATTGAAATCACGTTAACAAAAAGGCTAAGAACATTGGTAAGACGTAGAGACCTTAGTACGCAAGTTATCCGAGTATGTGGAGTGCTTGATCTGATCAGATCCACTGTGCTATTTGCTGACGAGATAGTTTAGTTTTAATTTAGTTTAACAAATTTATTGACAAAGCTTGGAGTACAGTTTGCCTATTCTGAGTAATTCAGTCAGTTCTTGACACTTGAGGCTGGTATCACTTCTCACTGCCACGCAGGACAGAGGTTCTTACACAAAGAAATACATCATATTCATTAACAGTATATGTAGGTCAGAGTCATGTGGGTGATGTCACTGTTCACTGCCATGCAAGACAGTGGCTCACATACATTGGACGTCATATTCTAATTGAAGACTAATCAGTGTGGGCTAGCAAATTTGGGATAAACAGCAAGAATGTCCCCAAGCACCCCCGATTCAATGTAGTAATTACAAAGTCCATGATACAATATGCCAGGTGGCCTGAAGTCTTTGACAGTGTCACATTCAATAATATAGTGTTCAAGTGTATGCTTTCGAGGTTTATCTCAAAGTTTATAGGCTAGATACGACACGCATTGCACCAATTGGATTGTATGTTTCACAGTGAGAATGTTCTGAGGAAGTATTCTTCATGGGATCTACTGTACAGTATATAGGAGTAATTTGTATTATGGTAAAATTTAGATACACTCAAGTATTATAACTGTTGATACTTAATTTAAGAAACGATAACAGAGTATACGTGCGATGTGTTGATACTGGACATGCGTGGAGCCTTGTAACAGCCAAGATCGTTGGGTGCATTCAAAGCAGAATTGAGAGTACAGCCAAAATCTGTGGTATGATAGTGGTTCCAAAATGATGATTTTACATATTAGAATTATATTTCGTGTATGCATGCATGTTAGTTAATTGTGCTGGTGACGAGAGTGGTGAATAGGTAGGTTTGCGAGTGGCGTAAGATGGTAATATATAGGGAAGTATATGTTTCTATCTTATTTCATTTATCTTTTCCAGATTAATTTTATTTATATTAAATTTAAATGGTTTCTAGATACCCTACAGTATATGCCAGGTTTCTGGAAATGCCGAATTCATTCGATGGTTACTTGGCTCCGGTGACAAATAGGTTGCTCCGGTAACGATGTCAGCTCATTGCACGTGGGATTAGACCTTGTTTGACATTTTTTGCACAACACACTTCACTAGTGCGAACTTTGGACTGCAAATTCTCTAAGGGGTTGTAAACTTACTATGCAACAATCTAACTAGGAAATTATGATGTAGTAACGATATTTGTAATATTGTACAGATATTCAGTAATTGTAATTAATGTTTTTGCTGTTATTTTACTATGATTGTTCAAAGAACACTTTAAAATCTGGTGTATGACCGTTCAAAACTTGGAAGAATTTGCAAGTATGAAATAATTTCTCCCCTTATCCTGTACAAGGCGAGGAGAATGCTGTCATGTATAGTTCTCACTGACCCTTGTAAACAAGACATTATGACACTTATCTTGATTTTTATCACGAGGAAGATAACAGACTATCATCACTTAGTTCTCCAGCCTTCAGAACACTTTTGATTTCATCGTGTTATCAGGGCATGTTTCCTCCTCTAGACCAACATGTACTCATAAATCAATACTTTTCTTTGATACATACAAGCAAAATGTAAATTAATGAAAGATTATTATCATTATTATTATTACCGAGTACATTAAGAACGTAGCAGATATATTACGGTTTGTAATATTATTATTTATTAAAAGTTTTATATAAAAATTATATTAATAATGATAATGATTTTATTAGTTTTGGTGATTTTTAGTCATTTCTAAATTAATGATTTTGCAGTTTTTTTTTCAAACAATAAATTTAAAGTATATATTACTACTACTACTACTACTAATAGTAATAAATTGAATTGCGAATAGACTTATTTTAATGACACTCAAGAAAAGAAACTCCAGTAGCCAAACATTATCATGGCTTCCCGTCTCCTGGTTGTGATGAGCGGTTGCCGAAAAATATGAATCCCAATTCTCACTGGCCTCAACCTAATCGAATCTCTTAGATTTTGAACCATCAAGGCAGTATTTCAATCTCAATTGCTTGGTTTGGACCCAGTAGGGCTAGGTCATTAGGTCATAATCTTAATTGTGTGTATCGGTTAGGTTCGACCAGTCACGTGTGGTCAGTTACCTGGTAACCAAGACGAATTACTTATCATTCACAAATATCAAAAGTGAATCGCTGTTTCTGGTTGCCAGTCTCCATCTCTCAATTTTGCTGAAGAGCTAGCTATATAAAGCTGTGTAGGCTACAATTTAAACAATTATGACTACACACTAGCTAAACAGACCATGCTTAACCTAACCTAACAGTCTGAGGGTAAGTTTGGATTGTGTTCATTGTCCGATGCTTTTCACCGCGCAAGTGTAATATGGCCAAATAGTTCTCGTTTGTGCTCAAGTTATGCGATACTTGGCTCACTAGCAAAACTATGTGAAGAACCGGACCAAATTACTTCTAGTGCCACTTCCAAACTGAGAGCCCTTGGTGGGATAAAACGTTTGTTTTTTAAAGTACTCTGAAGCTGACAACAGATTCCGGCACCCAAACACACTTTAAGAAAAACCGTGATAATTCTAAATAGACCAAAGTCCTAAGGGGTCCCAAACCTACTTGATCGCAGTTATAAGGGGCCCCAAACCTAATGGGTCATCAGTTCTACGGGGCCCCAAACCTAATGGGTCATCAGTTCTACGGGGCCCCAAACCTAATGGGTCATCAGTTCTACGGGGCCCCAAACCTAATGGGTCATCAGTTCTACGGGGCCCCAAACCTACTGGGTCATCAGTTCTACGGGGCCCCAAACCTACTGGGTTACAGTTCTAAGGAAACCCAAACTTGATGGGTCCGCTCTAAGGGGCCCCAAATCTAATGGGTCTAAATCTTTAGGTTCCCAATCACTAGTTAGGTTACGTTAAAACCCATTTGACCTGCAGCCGCTCGTTTACTACCATAATTAGCATATCTTCCCTACGAATGAGTTTTTGCCCAGGTACTCGTCCGATTACGGTTAATTTGGTAGATATTAACTACAGATGCTTTGAAAATAAAATGTTAATCTACATTTATACCTAACCTGTCCAAATGTTTTCCCCAATTTAACTTAACATTTCTCCATAGGCAAATTGACCAAATCTACCAATCCCCAAACCTAACCTAACCCGAACATACGAATCCCGGAGTTTTAGTATGAAAATTCAGTCCAATTTTGCTGTCTTGTGAATTGGCACCAGTCATCCACACTACACCAGAGGCATTACTGTCCTTTAGAAACAATGTCGATACATCTGTTGGTGAACTTCAAACCATAATTTATTGAATCAAAATTTTCCCTATTTTCTAGAAAATGACAACCAATATTTTTGATGTTTGGTTCTGACATCGGCAATATATATAACACGATTTGTAATTCGGTTTGTGGCCGATGTAAAAAAAAAAAATATTTTTGAGCGAGGTCTTGTCTAGACTGGCCACAACAAAGGAATAGAGCAAACAAAATATCCGGGTGTTTGATCTTTGACTCCTTTCAAGTTAAAGGAAATGGTTATATTACAGATTTCGTCCCTATTCAGGTATTGTAAAATCGGTTGGGCATCAGACAACTAGACCGGCTCTAAAGAACTCCCAAGTGCCCGCCTAACTTATGACTTTTACTATTGTTTAGAAATAAAAAAAAACTAGTGGAATAAATATTTGGAAAGTAGAGTTTAAAATTGTAGGAAATGAGTCTTTTAGGTTCCTCTCTGGCTGCGGATTCCCAAGTTTCTGTTACTACTTTAATTTTATCTCCTAACTGGTGCTACGTAAGCGTGTATAGTTATGGTGAGAGCTTCAGCGTGGAAATTTGATGCCATTTTTGAAGTAACTTTGTGATTTAGTTTTTAAGTCAGCCGTACAAAGGCATCTTCACGCCTACACTTACCAGAAAAATTCAACTTAGTCCAACCAACCACCGAGTCTGTTACTATTATTGCCACCTTTTAATTTTGTTACAACTTTGTATAAAATGATATATGGGGAAACTGGGCCACATTAAATATTTCTGAAGTGTTTGATCTTGACCTAAAATAATGAACGGCCTGTACACCAATAAAACTACTTGAACAAAATGTATCCCTTTTTTTATGTTTGATCTTGAGCCTCTGAACGTGGGTCCCATTGCAGTGGTGCGGACATAACACATTGGATACTAAATTCGGGTACACACAAAGTCACTGGCTGTCGCTGCTTGATCGCCTTCACTTCCTCAACGAGAGTTTATGTGTCTATTCACAGTTGAGTTGATTGTAGGTGCTGTGGAACAGGAAGTGGACGCTCTATCCATGTAAGCTGCTTTGCTTCCCCTTCACTCCCCTTATTTCTTGAAGAATCGACTAGCATATATAGTTAATTGACACAGGTGTGGATATTCCGAAGATTACCACCTAACCTAACTTAACATAACCTAACCACCCCCAGGTATAGCGTTTGGAGGATAATCTTCTATTGGAATATGCTGAGATGTCTATTCTTCCGATGATCCTATAGCTGCAGGCCACGTGTGTGTGATTCTTGATCCTCTACTAAAAGTCTAACGATATTAACTTGGCGATTGAAAATTTTTAAGGAAATTTTGTGTGGATATGATAATACATTTAATATTTGACCCCTCAACCTCACCCCTCCCCCTCACCCTCATCCCTCACCCTCATCCCTCACCCTCATCCCTCAACCTCACCCCTCACCCTCATCCCTCCCCCTCAACCTCACCCCTCAACCTCACCCCTCACCAGTGAGAGTACTGGTGATGAGTGTGTGTG